GGCTATATATTAGGTTATTTAGAGTTTGAACCTCAAGGTTTTGTGAGATCTGTACACAAAAAGGTCTTGCATATGTTTGCGGTGTGTGGTCTTGCTACAGAATTAGGTCAGCTGATATGTCTATTACGTTTATCAAAAGTTGCATTGGTGTAGCCGAGGCTGCGGTAAAATAATACGTCGATGGAAAGTCGCAGAGCTTCACCAACCATTACACTTAGTAGCTTCCTGAGCATATATCAAATTAATATTAACCAGCAATGTAGTGCTATAAGATTATAACAAGCAGTCGATTTACTTTTTTGTTGTGGGCGTAGAGTAGGTAGACTTGAACCTTACACCTTAAAGGTGAGCGAGTCTGGATGATATATATTCATTACATGTTGACATATAGGTGAGAAGGGTGCAATGACAATGATCAACTACGTATTATTACATCAGTAATTATTGTAGCCATGCCAATCGGACTGTGTGATTTTCAGCACTAGTAATTTCGTTATGGAATGATATGCAAATGGGTGTTTATTCATAACTCCCGAATGTTGTCTTCCCACCTCTTTCTTTGCCTGCTCCCTTTCTTCTTCCTTGGACAGTACCTTGCAGGATTGTCTTGGCAACTCCTGATGATCTTGAGATATGCCCATGCCACTGCAGTTTACGTTTTTTCAAAGTGGTCAGGAGGTCTTTGTCAGGCTTAATGGATTGTCTTATACTTTGCCATATTTCTTCATTGGTGACACGGTCTTTGTATGGGATGCCGTGGATCTTTCGGAAACATCTCATTTCTGTGGCCTCTATCCTTTTCTCTAAGTTAACTGTTATGTTTTATGATTCACAGGCGTAGAGAAATCACCAGTGAGTGCATCAGTCTAACCTTTGAAATAAGTGCGATGTTCTTGTCGCTCCAGATCGGCTTCATCTTTGTCAGCGCTGATGTTGTCTGCACAATCCTGGAGAGTACTTCGGGCTTCGATCTTTCATCTGTTACAATTGTCCCCAAATACCTGTACTCTGAGAACTGTTTCTAGGTTTGTACCTTGGACCCTGATGTAAGTGTTGAAGCCCTTGGTGTGGTTGGTCATCAGTTTGGTCTTCTCTACACTGATTTCCATGCCGTAGACTTCTGAGGTTTTATCGAGGCTCTCTAATAAGATAGCTAGTATTTCTCATTTCCTGCTAGTCCATCAATGTCGTCGGCAAAACGTGACTGTTCTGCCTCCGATGCTAACTATTCATTAATGTTTTCAAGCGCGTCAGCCATGATTCTCTCCAGAAAGATGTTGAATAATGTGTGAGAGAGTAGATAGCCTTATCTGACTCCTATTATCGTTCTGAAACAGTCTCATTTTTCTGCCATTGAAGTATACTGCACTGGTGGCATTAACATAGAGGTACTCTTAAGATCTGCTCTTTTGTGTTGCACCCTTCCCTGGAACCTGTCTTGTCCACAGCAATTATCTTTTTAGCCTGTGGCTTTAGTCTGTTTAGAAATATCCTCAACATAACGTTTCTTGGATGACTTATAAGACTAATTGTACCGTGGTTTTCACACTGTTGCAAGTTGCCTTTCTTGGGAAGGGTGAAGATCAGTGATCGAGTCCAACGGCGATGGCCATACTCCTGTTTGGCATATGTTTTTACAAATGCTTGTGAGGACGCTAATTTTTGCTTCGTCCCTGTTTGAACCAGTTCTGCTGGGATAGTGTCCACTCCTGCTGACTTCCTCTTCTTCAGCGATCTCACTGCTACTTCTACTTCTTCACGTACGATAGGGTGGTGGTCGTCGTTAATTGCTGGAGGGACTTTCAGTACCTCTGGATCTGTTGTGGTTCAGTGGTTGTAAAGTGCTGCGCGGTACTCAGTCCATCTTTTGAGAATGTCTTTTTCTTTTGTAAGGCAGTTTCCGACTTTATCCTGTAAGGAGGTAACTCTTCGTTGTTGTGTATGCAGAAGTATCCAGAAGATGGACATGGCACAGTCCAGGCGGACATCATCACAAACAGATCGACTACATCATTGTGAAGAGGCAAGTACAGTCAAGCGTCAAGCGTAAAAATCGCCAACGCTCGAAGCTTTCCCAGATCGGACATTAGAAGTGATCCTGATTTGGTGATGATGACGTTCAGGCTACATTTAAAGAAGGTCATGAAAGAGAGCCACAAAGGATAAAGTGTGATTTCGAGAAATTTTAGGATCCCGAAATAGCAGAAGAATTCTGGGCAATTATTGGTGGGAAATTTGCACAGCTCACCATTCTTGACCCTGACGACACAGATATGGACACGTTGATCACCACCTTTAATACAGCAACGACCGAAACAGCCAGCAATATCCTTGGTAGATATCGCCCAGTTGAGAAGCCCTGGGTCACAGTTAAGGTCCTGAACCTGTGTGCCATGAGGATGGAGCTGAAGAAGAAAAAGAACGATACTGAAAGGGCAGAACAGTATAAGGCAGTCAACTGGGAAGTCAAGAAAATAATGAAAAAAAAAACAAACGTCAGAAGAACAGTCCAAAGACATTGAAAGAAACTCGCAAAGGAATAACAGCAAAAAAGCGTATCAATTGGTCCAAGATATAACAAGCACAAAACAACCGAAGTGGATTTACAAGCAGTGAATGTCAAATAATTTCCTTTCAAAACAATAAAGTATATAAATGTCATAGGAACAAGTACACTATAAGACTCCAATCATTTCCGAAAAACAGCACATGCATGGTTCATTTCCTACAAAAGATGTTCAAGAAATATATGGAATCAACTCAACCAGATTATATCAGATATCGAATACTATCAAATATTGCCCAGCTTTAAAATCATATGGTATAAACTAGAAAGATCTACAGCACGATAATTGATCGTACTAAGTCCATAAAATATCGGATATCGAATAGGGCGATCTGCAGCCCATAATTGACAGTACTACGGGTCATTGGTAATGCACAAATCAAGACAGGTGGGTAGGGGATGGCACTCTGACTGTAAAGAAATGGCTAAACGAAGTATGGTAATTGTGTTGTCCCATTTCGTTAAGTAAAGTTTAGCGGTCAGTGTGTGAAATAACAATTAATAATTAAAAAAAAACATTCCATTTTGTCCACAGACGTTGATGCAGTGGACGGCAATATCTAGATTGTAAGTAGTGAAAATGACACGCCATTGACGAATATCATTAATCCATTTAGTGACACGAAAAAGTGGATTTGGAATGCAATTTGGAAAAAATGAACATGAGGTGGGTTTTTTCTGCACATACTGTATGCAAAAAAAATCGATTTTATTCAGACCTAAACATCCTCGACAGTGGTTCCTAACAAAATGATACGAAGGACTGAATTGGGCACAAGCTGCATTTTATGATGAAGACATTAACACAAGTTCCCATTTATTATGGCAATAATAATTATGACACAATTTTTGTCCCAAACATTATGCTAATCCCCAAAATGAACAATATGAAATGTAAATATTCTCTGCTTACATTTATTTCTGTGCATGCTAATTTATATATTCTACCACAATGGGTAATTCAGTTTTCTCTACTTTATTAACTAATGAATTTTGAGTTTAAAAATGTAACCACTTTATTGGTATCCTAATAATGGGTTCAAGGAAAAATGTACAAAATGTAAGACTTTGGTAGAATATTTCCCTTCATGTAGACTACCAGCCACATTAGACTGCCTCCTTGTATCTTGCTTTCTAACGCACCCCAAGTCTTTGCAAATTACTACACTGTACTACGATTTCAACTAATTTACACAGCGTTCAAATGTACTCAAAACAACATGAATATCTATTTATCGTGAATACAGAAACATGTCACTAAATCGCCACTAATAAGTGTTTAAATAATTGTACGTAAATTATCATCATCTCATTTCCTACACATGGCCTTTTCGACACACCGTAGAATCCCCTGTAGATAACCACATGGCTGATATATACATGTATTCATTTTACTGTCACTAAGCACCTTGCGCTTTTCTTAGTTTAATATTCACGATTAGTGACAGTCATAACATCCAATAGAGGTGAACTAAGTACCATTTTTAAGATATGCATAATTTTGCTAAAAAGTCGCCTCTTTTTAATTTAAATTACTCTCTTGCCTTGCGGGAAGCGCCTTCTTACACCCTAGCGGAAACACATACCACAACTAGAATGGTTCTCATACTTGCAATTAAATTCAAGATACATCCCATTTATGCTTAGATAATAGCTTTATTTCAGAACAGTAGCTAATGGCAGGTAGTACTTTTCATTATCTTTAGACGGGTATTAAGATAGAATGTTTGATGATATCCAAATATATAACTTTGGCCGATTAATACATAGAGACTTACATCTGATTTCTTTTCTTTTCATTATTCACTGTATGTAAGTCATTCTTATAGTTTTCTGGAAAGTTTCAGATTTTTCTTCCCTATTATCAGTATAGACAACAAAAACCCACAAATGTACTTTTAATAAGAAAAGATTTGCACTATCGAGTTACAAGTTTGTGTGTAGTCGGTAAGGGAGACGGGTTGACTTGTAAAAAGTCAAATATGGTGATCCCAGGTACAATGCATCATGATGTTGCCACATGCATCGTATCCAAGGCCCAATGTACCTGAAAAATGTTTCTCTAGTTGTTCTGCTTAGTCTTCAAGCAACAAGTTAAATACAATTCAATAGCTCAATAATATCTCAATGCCATAATGTATCGCTCGTAAAATTAAATATAAAACTGCGCGCGCGCATGCGTGTGTATGTGTGTGTTTGTGATTTGGATTGTTAACGTAGCTTTAACAATTTTTCAGTCATATCGCCACAGTGTCTGCAGTGTGTCATTTTATAGTTATTCACAGGGGCATCATGCCGCAGACAGATAGCATGATATCCCACCCAGTCATATTATCTTGACACCAGACCAACCAGTCCTAACACTAATATCTAATTGCTGAGCCCCTAGCAAGGCAGCTGTTAGTACCATTTTCTTAAGTCATGACTCGTGGCATGACTCGGCTGGATTCGAATCCGCAAACTTCCGCATCCGAGGCGGACGCTTATAACCACTACGCTACCGGAGTGGTCTAATATAAATATAAAATTGCCTTTTTTGCTCATATAAATATATTGTTAGCAAAACCTACTGCCCCTGGACATTTAAATGACAGTTTAAGTTAATTAATTTGTAACTTTTCCCCTATTCTCGGAAGCTTGTACCTTGAAGAATGACATGGAGGTTTCGCTGGTTACGGATCTGGGATGCAGCAATGTTACCTGCACGACTATCCTCTGGCATGAGCGTCTGTTGGAGATGCAAGCAGATTTCATTCGTGGGTTAAAAGCATGTGAGTGTGGCAGCAGTAATATACAGTGGATGTGGAAGTAGATGTACTTGCACATATTTGTGAGTCACAAAAACGTATTGCACGTGTGTTAGCACTTTTGTCACCTCGACGGACAATGTCAGAGACGCGTACAGAGTAGTATGATAATGGCGGTTTAGTTGGTGTGGTGGAAGAACAAAATCATACCAGTAACAAAAATAAAAAACAACTTTTTTTAGACTACTCCAAAAATAAGATTGATTTAAGATCGGACAATATAAAACTTGAATTTCCTGACACATATAAGTAGTATACTGCAAATAAATTTGTATGTATTCCCAACAAACAGACACAAAAATATATACAAAGGCACGTTCAAACTCACACAAAGCATTGACCTTACAGTGAGATTAACAAAGATTGTATACGATGAGAGAAATTCTTGGAAATATTTGAATATAGACAGACATCAAATAACGACTGAGTTAAGTCCGTAGATTAGGGTAGGCATGCTACAACTGACACTCCAAGTTCGCACTATTATCACCTTACTCGTACAGATAGCATAATGTTACTTTATTTTTGGTGATTCTTTTACAATATTATGGGTACAGCGATTGATTTGTAGTGAATTCTGATCATTTCTCAAGCATCTTCTAAGGTGAAATATTCGCTTTAAATTCTTTATATATGTAAGCAACATTCGTATTATAAACAGAAAGACATGCCTGCAACAATCAAGTAATTTAGTAATTGTGTTTACCTATATACTTCTATTGCATATGAGCCAACACGACTTTGTATGAAATTACGATGTAGCGACATGTTGGCAAAAGGACGTATTCCCGAAAGACTCAACATCCGCAACAGTAAGGGTATGTGAAAGCATTTCAGAGAAGAAGACCATATTGTACCATGATCTAAACCTAGTAATTTCGGAGAAGGCAAGGAAGCAAAACTTGTCTCTTAGATTAAGAAAAGAGTTTCAACAGATTAAACTTTCGTGCACAGAATAATTTAAAATATTTTGTAGAAAGCTTTAAATAAAATCACTTTGAGTATTTTAAGCCATATTATGAATGAATCTAACATTCAATTGACCAAACTGATGTAAAGATGAGTAAATATTTGTATTTGTGATGTGTCGAATTTTGAAACTTGTTGAAGCCTAAGGTTATATAAATTGTGCTTTCAAGTTAACATAATCGAAGCAGAATGGTCTGGTTAAAGTTCAATGTTCATTTCTTCATTTCATCTCTAAACATAAAAGGAATTACGTTAAGTCTCACTCATTCTTATGGTACAAGGGGCACACGTCAAATAATCGAGTTTTCAAAGGACGCTAATTATTAAATATTTTAGGCCAGTGAAACCGACGAAGGACACTTGACTTGCGGGGTATTTTAGGAACAATTATTTCTGATGGGCCAGGGAAATTTAAGGGCGTACACTTTGTGGAACGATTTAGGAACTATCTCTTGGATAATCCTTTAGTTAGATTTTTCTTGAGAGAAGATTAAGGACTCCGTAGACGTTAGTTGATGAAGTAGTGTCTTCGTGAAATTACAAAGCGGCCAGACAGTTGTCTTAGACAGGAGACTAACTTATGGCTATGACTGTTTGTTGGAAAAGGAAAAAATTTTGCAGCAAGTCACGCAATTTTAGTTTAAATTTTAATGTTTTTTTTTTTCATTTCTTTGATTGTTGGCAGATATGATTTATTATGATTAACGCATGTATTCGTGTATTCACGCAGATATTGGTGTTGTAAGGCATGCTGGCATATACAACCACATTTGTCTGTAGAGGCACGTGGGAATTTTGACCTTGAAGTAAACTCGAATGAACTTGAGTTAAGGTCATGTGTATCAACTTAACGGTAAACATACCGCAAGATAGAATCTGTGAGAGTATTGATATAAGTCACGTGAGGTCAGGATTTTACAGTGTAAACCACCCTAAATCTTAGCACGAGAAATATAGTTTATTTTTATACGTGAATGTGTAGAGGTATTTGTCTAGAAACCTTGCAATCATTACATTTGATCATTTACGTATTCTAGATATTTTAATCATTGTGTTTGTTATATACGTATATTTATAGATAGCGTGGCATTTTCATGTTTAGAAAAGAAAGATGATATTGTAGAATGTTGTTGTTACTGCTACTACTACTACTACTACTACTACTACTACTACTACTACTACTACTACTATTACTACTACTACTGAAGTAATTGTAATCTAACAACTAACATCAAATATAACACATAAATCAGTAGTGCAACATATGGAGACTGATATGCACAATTTGACAGATTGACTGAATTTAAAGTTTGTATACCTTGCTCCCGGACTATCAGATCAGTTAAAAACACAACAGAAAACATGTTTACTTCTTTCATTAACATCTGCCTGTAATCCGTATCGCTTGGCTGGGACCTTGCGACATTCTACATTTCAAACATGAAGGAATAAGATCTTTGCCTATTTGTTGTTGCAAACAGACTAAGCTGTTTGATCTGTATTTACATGTACATCATTGACGCACATTCGAATTCTGGTTCATTGGGTGCTGGGAGTGTTATAAGAAATCCAATACATATGCCAGATAAGGTATTATGCAGACATTGGGACCACACCCAACTATTTTAGCATTTTGTTATTTATAACAAAGCCATGGCAAATTATTTCAGTCCACTTTTGTTGTTCTAAATCACGCTAACTATACGGTAAACTAAATTTTTTAAGTGCTTTTCAGCCTTTCGCTAGTTATATGGTGTATATCTCTTATTGTGTATTAATGGCATCGTATTTGTCTTTACCCAAAGCACGTATTATTTGATACCAGTTTCGAGTAGATAGATTTGTTTCTAATGCAACATATTTCACTCTGTGCAAAAATATTCTTTATTGTTCCAAACCAATGTAGGTCTTAGTGATCTACTCCTCATAATGCAGTGATTATATTATCTTTTCTTGTTAACGATCAAGTTTTGTTAAATTTGAGGCAGTGAAGTTTGACTAAAATATGTGGTTTAATAAAGAAAAGTTGTATAACAAATGCTATAAAAAGTTAACTTAGCTGTTTAAAGTAATAGGATTTGTACTTTTCAAAGAAACATTATTTTGACTTAATGTGTTTCTCTCATTTTGTGCACCATTTCCTGAACAAGAGTAGCATCTCCATAGCATAAAGCATCTCTATGTTCTTTTCATCTGATAACCTTTATCCCATAAGGAACCTTTCAAGTTTGAAAAAAAAAGTTAAATTGGGTTGTATAGTGGATGAGTTAGGATTTGAAGATCTGCAATACAAACTTGCACACGATCCTGCTGAAAAATGAAGTCAGGTAGGTACGAATATCTTGGCGAATAAATAGATGTAAACTATATCTGATTACTGGGGGGGGGTCTGTCCATGCACAGTGATGTTCTCTTGAACGACGTTGTTCAAACCCGCAATCGTTCCGTTCCTCAGCCGATCAGTTTCTCCTTCCTACCCGCTTAGGATTAGGTTTCAAAATTAAGATATATACCTACTACTTAAGTTTATGTGAATTGTATTTTTTCTTCAGTGGGTAGATTTTGTTCTTTCTGTATTTGAGCTAATACAGGAGATTTGTTTTTCTTGTGTCTGAAATAAAACCGAGCTAATTCTGAAATTTACTTTGGAAGTTGTTGATATTCAGTTTTAAAGTATCTGGATACCATGTAGAGGTTTTACGTTTGATCTATTTTGCTTGGAATAATTTCCTTTGCATTGCTATGTGCGGGTATTCGTTTATAATATAATCAGTGGCTTCTAGGATGGAACAATGAGGGCAGTATATACTTAATGCATTACTTGCTGGTAAGAACCTTCCATAGCTACTCGCTAGGAGAGTTATTTCCGGTTCTTAGTCTGTTCCTAGTCTGTTATAATTTTGAAGTCTATAGGAGATTGGGGGGGGGAGGGCATTAATTTATCTGCTAATATCCCTTATGATTTGCCCTTTAGGTTGTTTTTCCAATACCTTTGCCACTTGATTTCAATTGTTTGCTGATTAAGCTAAATTGTCCATGGGTAGTGTATGATAACAGAAGGACTTCGGGCTCATTTAAGAGTAGTTTTGCTTTTTATCTGTATTTCGTTCACAGGAATGACTATATGAGTAGTGAAGGGGGATACTTTATGGTCACGTAGACTTTGTGTTAAATTTGGTCGTTTGCACTTTTGGGGTCAAACGGAAAGTTAACATGGAGTAGATTGGGCCAGTCTATGGTCAACGGGGAATTGAACAAAGCTAATGTAGAGCGACAATGGATTTGGCCTATATAGGGTCAATAAGAATTGGAGAGGGATGACGTCATGGTACTGGAGACTGGCAACATTGTTTCAAGTGGTTGACCTCAATCGGATGGAAGAGTGAGGCAAGGGGCTGACCTGAATATGTGTTACTTTAGGGACAATATATACAAGAGCTATAGATAGAGATATAGACATATGATACAAGCATAGATCGATAAACATGAAACTATAACAATAACAAATCAACTATTTTTTTAAACAAGGGAGAATAGATGTCTTTTCGAGGCAATGGAGTGGCCCTAAAATGAACCGTTTAACTGTTTCTAATTTTTACCTTCTTCTTCACCATCTTCTCATCGTCTCCATTACAATTTTTTTCTTTTTTTCTTCTTCTCATTCTCTTTCTCCTCCTTCTCCTCTTCCTCCTCTTTTTCCTTGTCACATTCTCCTCCTACTTCTTTTTCTAGTTT